TTGACCCCTTATGACTCCAACATATATAGTTTAATCACATATGTACATATATAATCACATAATAACAATTAAAGAGTAAATGAGCATGTATCAAAAGGTCACAGTATTGTATAATGGTAGACAACAGAAAATCCAACTAGGCAAAAATGCACTTTTTCAGAAAATTACCAAATTATCAGGGAATGTGTAAAACAATATTTTAAGATTTTTATTGTACTACAACACTATTTTTCAACACCCCGATAATTTTTTATTCACTAAAAACTCCTCAAATTTCAAAATACCCTGTGAAAATTTTCCAGAAAATATTCAAAATGTGCATAATCGTAATATCTACGGCATATAAAAAGTTACGCAGTGAAAATTTTACCGGTGCAAAGTTATCCCCGTTTTTATCTAAGGAATACAAAATTTTAATCGGAATATTCGCCAAAACATACACATTTTTGAAATTTGAGATGTGCATAATGTGCCTTATCTCGAAATGAACAACTTTCCCAACTACGTCGACGGACGAAAACGGCCTGAAGTCACCCAAAAATCATATTCTACTTTCTCTCTCATCTTTTCTCTTAAATTTCCTTTTTCTCCTCTCTGTTAGCCGAAGCAGCTTAGGGAAAATATTAATATATAATGATTTGAGTGCTTATAGATATTTTAGATATTTATAATTATATAATATATAATAATATTATTATAATTAATTTTCAATAGAAAATTTCATAGAAATTATTTTGTGGATTCCAAAAATTACAGAAAAATATTTATAAATTAATAAATTTTATTTAGAAAATTATGGTGAAATCAGTTTGCAAAACGGACATCTAACTGTCCCAAAACCCCCACTTGCATCCATAGGTGCCGATATTTTAAGAAATTTTGACAGTGCCCAAAAATTTGGAAAAAATTAGGGAAGCTAAAATACGACATTAAAAATGTTCTGGGGAAGACGGTTTGTGATTTAGACAACTCTAGGTTAACAAATAAAATTGTGAAAATTCAAAGGGTTTCATAACAGCGCTGCGGGTTTGAGCGCCGCAGCATCATGATTATAGAGGCTTGAGCATCGAAACGCTCCAAACTGGGGCCGCAACGCTTCGAGGCAAACTTAACAATTTTCTTTTTCATTTTTTTCAATGGTGGCATCCCTTGGTGCTATTAACTCTAACTCTCTTTTGTTTTGAGTATGAGAACGGTGCAACAAAGAAGAGAAGGAGAGAATGAGGGAGAAGAGATATCCGTAATTATTTCTCTCAATTTTCATAGTTGATTTCTTGGTGCGGTGTGGCTCCGTGGTTTTTCCTGATTTCGAGTTTTCCCACGTTAATTCCTGGTTTCTTTACTTTTCACTGCTTTTACTTTCTTATTTGATTCATCGCATGATTTACTTCCATCCCCAACAAAACTAATATCCTACTACCGCCAAATAGCTTTGACTTGAGGAAAGCTAAACTAACTAAGGTCATCCTACAACTTGAGTTTTAATCAGTCATTGAAGGAACATGAAAAACAATATGTAAGCAATGAGCTACATGAAGATGGAAATATGCACTAGTATTAATATGATAAAATAAATGCTTCACAATCATCCAATAAATAAAGGAATATATATATTTTTATAAAGGAATATATATATTTTTTGTAAATTTTTATACTATTTAATATTTCATTTCATGTTCATTTTACAAACTGAAATACATAAAGATTAAACGTGTATTGAAATCAATTTTACTATTTTGAATTGGAAAAATCCAAATTAAGATCTTCCTTCACAAACATGTAATCAATGAAGAGATAAGATAAGCAGGATGCAAGAAAAGAGAATGGACATGCGCACAAGTATGAATGTAGTCCTTTATTTCAAGTCCACTCTACACATTGATAATATAATATTTTTTGAAATTTTATTGCTTTTCCTTCTCTTCTAAGGTTTCGTTTGGAACAGGCTTTCTTAATGTTTCTTGAAGAAACTTTTTTAATAAAAAAATTAATTTTTATACTAAAAAGCTACTTTAAGAAGCAGTAAGAAAGTCGTCCCAAACAAAAACTAAGTCTAAAAAATCCTCAAATATGATCCTTTTGTAGCATAACTATTGATCAATCAAGGAATATGATAAAGAGATATGCTAAACAAGCAAAAATGTTGGCTGAAAAAAATTATTGGAAGTAAGGAAATGACATTTGTCCTTTACAAACTTCAATCTTTGGAAGCAAGCATCAGTTTTTAACAATAAATTTACTGCTAAGAACCAAATTTTTTGTCAGTTTCGGCTGCTTACAGAGTTAGAGATAGACATGCGCACCAGTATAAAGAAAATAAATAAGAAAAAGCCCAACCATCCAATACTTCGAAGCAATAAAAATTGTTTTAATCCTTCATGTTGCTTAATATTCTATTGTATTGAAAGTTCAACTCATTTCTTTACTCTTCTGATTTGAGGAAAAACCTAAAGGAATATGATAAGCAGGATGCCAGCAAAGAAATGCAAGAAGTTGGATAAGCGTGTATGAATAGAAAAATGTAAAATTAGCCCAATCATTCATTGTATGCTCCAATCAACTAAGGTCAAGCTTTATACAAGTCGGTTTACCAGATTAATCTCATATAGTTATGTGGGTATCAATGTAGATCTAAGCACAGCAATGGATGGAACATTTTCTGACTTCTTACAGCCCACTCTTCTCTATGGCTTTGGTTGGGACAGCTTTCTAGCATAAAAATTTCATGAAAATTGATGCGTCATCATAAAATTATCTTGATTGGGCGCGAATCTCGAGACAAAAATCAAGCCGGAAACTTCAAAAATTAAATCCGTGAGCATCTGAACTCCGATTTCAGCAAACTTATAGTCAAACTGAGCGTCTCGGAAATACGAACCCAACGACACAAAATTCAACTCAATCTGAGCCCAAATGAGTCCAAATCAAGGACCCGAAGCACTGTTGGAAAGTTCGTACCACAATTCGAGTTACCAAACGGTCTCCGAACTTGACATGTTATGGTTGAATCGAGCTGCTCGACGAGACGAATCCAACGAGCCCAAGATCGCCAAATTCCAAAGTCATTAAGACCTTCAAATGCATGATAAAAGGTCCACGATCGAAGAATTCAATATCAGCCATTCATCCGAACCACTCCATATTTGCCCCTGATCTCTCGTCTATTTACAGGCCATGCCACTCTAGAAAATCTATAAATAGACCCCTCATTTCTCTTGAGAATAGGGGGGAAGCAAGAAGAAGAGAAGAAGAGAAAAATAGGAGGGAAGAAACTCCTCCTCGACCACTGCCGGAGCTCCAGCCGAACTCCAAATGATGCCAGAATTCTGCCGGACTTCTAAGGGACACCGGAATTCTGCCCGACTTTCACGGGATGCCAGAATTCTGTCTGACTTCCACGGGACGCTGAAATTCTTCCCAAGTAACGATAGAGTTCCCCCCTGACGCCAAAACTCCGCCCAAGTGATACCGGAGCTCTCATCGGCCTCCAACAGACGTCAGACTTCTACCCGATGTCAGACATTCACTCATCGCCAAGTTTCTACCCGATGCCAGCCGACTACGGTCCTTCTGACTTATGTCGCCCGCCGACTACAGTTTTTTCGACCTCCGTCGCCCGCTGACTACGGTCCTTCTGACTTACGTCGTCCACCGACAACAGTCCTTCCGACCTCAGTTGCCAGTCGACTACGGTCCTTCTGACTTACATCGTCCACAGACTACAGCCTTTCTGACCTCCATCACCAGACTATGGTCCTCCCGACCAAACGAACATGTCAATAGTGATTCTTTCTATTCACATCATGTACTGTACTCTATAAAATGTACATCAAACTAAGGTCTTCTCTCAAGGAAGGGCCTTATTTGTAATCAACTGCAATACTAGTGGATTCATTTGAACTGGGTTAGGCCCGTGGCTTTTCCCCCTTTTTAGGGGTTTTCCACGTAAAAATATTGGTGTCTCCCATGAATGCTACACACTCTCTTATCTGATTGCGTGCCGGATCTTCGTACAACGCTAAGACGTTAAACTTTATATTTCTCTACCACCGCGAATACTTCTGGATGCAACAAAAATAATGTAAACGTAGTTTTCAAAAGCTATCCCAAACAAAGCCTATATCTGAGGAGATCAAGAATACGATGGATATATATAGCTTTTGTTCATAAATTCTGGATTCTATAATTTTATGGATGTTTGATGCAAAGCATGTTAAGAGGCATGACCAATTAAGGAGCAGGGCATTTTACCACTACTTCACATTCCACTACACTAGTACCATTTCTGTTATTACCCTAATAGTATTACTTTTTGCTTGTTATGTCAATAATAGCAATATTAAAAATATTACAGACAGAATAATATATATATATATATATATATATATATATATGAGTTTTCACTGGACACAATGGAGAAAAAAGATTCATGCATCCGATCCCGCGTAGTGTACGTAGTGGGACGAAGGCTTGATGTTGTTGTTTTTGTAAAGACAACTCCATAGCCAAAATAACAGTCATATCCTCTTCCACTTGATCAGAGAATCATTATCATAATATTTTGCATATGGTTTACTTTTTTCAACTAATACAGAAGGAAATATCCAGAAAAAAACAAAATGCAGGGACTTAGCAGAAGATAAATTTTTACAGCTTTCCTCTCTTCATAACCTCCCATACATGTCGTGCGTCAACAACTTCACTAGTTGATGAATTCTCACTGCACTGGATTTTTTTATGGGATAAGAGGTCTACCAACTCCATGTAATAGTTTATACAAATACAATCCACATTACCAGGATCATCTCTCTTTGTGATCATTCATGGTAGGACCCAGCAGGTTCCAAGAGATCATTCCTGCAACTGTATATAATCCGCTTTGTTGATACATTTTCTGCAACTTCTTCGATCATAGAAGATCAAGAAAAATGGCAGTCTTGCTAAAGTTAATAGGTCTGTCAGCCATATCTCTTTTAATCAACAGTGTAACGGCTGCAAACATGGCCGTGGGTGGTGCAAATGGGGGTTGGGATCTTAGCACTGACTTGCAGTCATGGGCTTCCTCCCAAACATTTGCCCCTGGTGACACACTAAGTAAGTCTTTCTTTCCAAGTATTACATTTCTCAAACTTAGGGGTTGTTAGGTAGCACCTAGGATTTGATTTAAGTAGCATTTTGTAAATCCGAATTTCGAAATCCTGAGGGGTCTAAATCCTGAAAACTATTTGGTAACATTCATGATAAATACTATTAAATCCCGTGTGATTGTTTGGCTATAAAGTGGATTTAACGAGCGTGCTCTTCCTCTTGAGCTAATGGATTTCGTAAATCCGGCAAAAAACATGATTTCGGAAATCCGGGATTTAAAACGAAAAGGCATAATTTTTCGTCTACGACGGCTTTCATTTGCTGTGAGATTTGATTTTGCATTCTAGGCTGTTTGGCTGGATTTAGCTGTAATCCTCCTCAAGTCCAGCCTAAATCCTGCTACCAAACAAGCCCTTAATGTAAAATGAAAACAACTTAAAATTTTAATGGAGAACCTTTGTAGTTCGTTATAGTAATATCCAATCTCCTCCTTGTGGTTTGCAGCTTTCTCCTTTGGATCATTCCATAGTGTTGTTGAAGTCCCAAAGGCAGACTATGAAGCTTGCACTATTAACACTCCCATCAAGGCTTATACGAGTGGTAGTGCGGTAGTCAAGCTAAGCTCCCCTGGTAAGCGATACTTTGTTTGTGGGACTCCAGGCCACTGCGGCCAAGGAATGAAGATGGAGATCGACATTGCCTCAGCTTCAGAGGTTATAAATGCACCAGCGGCTTCTCCTGTAATCCCGACTCCCGCTCTCTCTTCTCCACCACCTGTTGATGGTCTGACCATGGCTCCACAATCCATTCCAGCCCCTGCTCCATTGAAGCCTCCGGCAGCTCTATCACCGATTATTCAGACATCAGGCCCACCTCTCATTCAATCCCCTGAGGCAGCAGGTCCTTCGCTACAAGTGGCTCAAGGGGAAAACAGTGGTGGCCGGCAGGTGGAGGCAGGGATTGTGTTGGTGGTCGGTTTGCTGATGGCTCTGGCTCAATGAGTCATACAACTATTGCTTAATGGCTCTGGCTTTGCCATAAGAATATCTGCTATTAATCAACCTTTATTTGTGAAAATTTCGTGTATTGCTCTTAAGTTAACTGGCGAGATAACAGAAGTTCTAAATGAATTGGCTAAGAGGATAAAGGTGTTGGGATATTAGATTCTATTTTGAGCATTGCAAACTATTCGATCACTCTTAAAAAAAAAACAGAGTAAAACTCATCCATAATCTCAAAACTCCATCATCCTCTCTAATTTGGAGTATTTATAAAATACATGGAAACTGACCAGCTGCTAACTAATCAGATTCACAACACAATTTTCTCTCCCATAAAGAATTTCTCTTCAAGTTTAAATTGTCGGGAAGAAAAGCAGGCAACCAAATAAATAAGAAAAATAAAAATACAATAAAATAAGGAGAAGAAAGTAAAAGCAACGCATGATACAACCTCTGTCAAAGGTACCTCCTCCGTGTGCACTGAATGAATCGTGACTCTTCATCCATAATAACCTGCTGTGATCCTATGCGTACAGGTGTAAAGTCATGTGCAGACTTCACTATATAATACTACTTGTACACCTAATATATAGTATATATACAGAAATAGAAAATGTATCATCTTATACCTTTACTGTTGTCTCTTTAACATCAAGCTTTAAGGTATATCTTAGGCATTATTTTATCTCTATTTCTTTATGGTATCAGAACAAGAATAAAAGCCTGAACTAGACGAAATGGCTCAGTCTTCATCTTCTTAAATAAGAGACTCGATGAATCACGCCAATGCAGATAGTTGTTCTATTCCTGCATCACTGAAGTTCGTCATCTCGAATACCAAAACCATCATATCAATTCAACTGTCTAACGACAACTACCAAATGTGGAGATTGCAGGTTCTAAAATTACTACATGCCAATGAATTTGATAATTTTAGTCATCCCCATTCAATAATCCCACCTCGCCTAAATCAGTCATCTAATGGAAGCACAACATTTAATCTGAAATACACAGAATGGGTTCTGATAGATCAAAATTTAGCAGCGGCAATATGCTCCACACTCACCACATCCATTCTTCCATATGTTATACATCTAGAATCTTGCTCGGCTAAATGGAATACCATTGAAAGGAAGCTACAACATCAAACCGTTCTAGAATCATTCAACTTAAGAATGAACTCCACAACATTTTCATTGGAAATCTCAACATGAATCAATATCTCATCGAAGTCAAAACAACGGTGGACAAAATCGCTATTGCAGGAGAAAATATTGACACATAAGACATTATACTCCATACACTTAATGGATTACCACCACTATATCAAGCATTCAAAACGTCTATCATAAGTCATAACTATGCTTCATCCAATTAGCCTTGAAGACCTATACTCTCTATTGCTCAGTGAGGAAATTAATATTCAATTAGAATCATTCCATCATCTGCAAGCAGCAAATCCCAACATGGCTTTATACTCTTATTGCGGTCCATGTCATAGAGCAAGAGGACGATCTGCCAATTTCAATAACAGATCTCCATCACTTCCCTCACTCACCTATCAGATATGCAATAAGAAAGGCCATTCTGTAGCAAGTTTTTGGCATCGTTTCAACATGAATTACATTCTTGTGGCGCCTTCAACTCAACACCCTACCAACCCGGATTGGTATTTGGATTTGGGCCCTTCATGTCATCTTACAAATCGCATCAACAACCTCCAATCCTAAACCATATCATGGTAGTGACAATATAACAATTGGTGACGGAAGCTCTGTTTAGATAGCTCATATAGGTGACGGTATTCTTCCAACACCATCTCGTAAGCTTCTCTTATCGCCACTTCTACACATTCCCCATTTATCTCATGATCTTTTGTCCATTTCTAACTTAACCAAGGCTAATAACATTTCTGCTTGTTTTGATGCCTCTGGTTTCACTTTTAAGGACTCTCTGACCGATCAAGTGCTTCTCAAGGATCCCTGCTATAACAGGTTCTATCTGGTTCCTTCAAAAAATAGGGCATAATTCATCAAATATCATGTCTCTATACACCTTAAAAGAATGGATTAGTAGAGAGAAAGCATAGACATCTCACTTAAACAATGAGGATACTTCTCCATATGGCAGCCCTTCCCTACACCTATTTGCCAGATGATGCCCTTACAACATCATATCTAATCAACAGACTTCCCTCAAAAACCATGAACTATTAATCCCCTCTCCAAATCCTTTATAATCAGCAACCAGACTACTTATTCCTTCACACATTTGATTGTCAATGCTTTCCTTGGATCCCATCCTCTTGTTGACACAAGCTTGAAACAAAATCAACACCCTGTGTATTTCTAGGGCTACTCATCCTCTTACAAAGGATACTAGTGCCCAGACACTACCACCAATCACATTATCATTTCCCCCAATGTTCCATTTGATGAAGATACATTTCCTTATCAAACCATCTCTGCAAGCAACATTCCATCCTCCATACCTCACACCAATACATTCTTACTTACTCCCACCTACACACCCTCTCCTCCACTGCTCCCAACTCATAAAACACTAACAATTTCCACTACTCCTACTCCACACCTGCTGCCACAATCCTCTGTTCTCACACCTGATTGCAGCATCACACCCACAAACCAATCAACTTCTCCCTCACCTATATCTCAGCCTCAACCACCATATGCTATTGTCTCCACTCATCCCATGGTAATGAGACTTAAGACAAAATCTCTCAAACCAAAACCACTCTTCAATCACCTCCACCGACATTCTGCCAATGACAACTAGTCTACAGTAGATCCAACCACCAACTCGGAAGCTTCCAAATCTCCTCACTGGATACAAGCTATGGCCACTGATTAACTTGCTCTGCAACAATAGGGTACCTGGACTCTAGTTCCACCACCCACAAACTCACCCACTCTCGACTGCAAATGGATATACCATACTAAACTTCACTTAGATGGCTCGATTGCTCGAAACAAGGAAAGCCTGGTAGCTCAAGGCAATCAGCAAGAATTTTACCACCATCCGATCTCTTCTAACAATTGCCTTGAATAAACAATGGTAGGTTCATCAACTAGATGTTATGAATGCTTTCCTCCATAGCGAACTCACGAAACCATATACAAGACAACCCTAGGGATTTGAAGATTCTTTGCATCTGAATCACGTCTTTCTCCTCCGGAAAGCTATATATGGCCTTAAACAGGCTTTTAGGCAGTGGTTCAAAACATTTTCTAAAGCTCTGAACCAGCCGGGTTTTCTTCCGAGCCTACTTCCTCTCTCCATGCAATATGCAAACTCTATACTGGCTGAAGTGGGAATGTTACTCTGCAACTCCCTGTCAAATCTGACTTGTACTAAGCTATCAAGAGTCATCCCAGCTAATCAAATTCTAGCAGATACTAGAACCTACAATCAAATTACAGGTTCACTTCAGTACTTAATGCTTACAAAACTAAATATAGCATATCTAGTCAATCTATTATGTCAACACATCTACGATCCGCAACCAGCACATGTCTACCTTCTCAAAAGATTTCTCAGGTATATCAAAGGAACGCTCCACTACGACCTTCCCATCTCCAAAGGTCCTCTTCACCTAATCTCTTTCTCATATGATGATTGGGTCAGTGATCCTTCCACGTGCAAGTCCACCTTAGGCTATTGCACCTTCCTGGACAACACACTACTCTCCTGGTGTAATATCAGTTGACCTTCCCATCTCCAAAGGTCCTCTTCACCTAATCTCTTTCTCATATGATGATTGGGTCAGTGATCCTTCCACGTGCAAGTCCACCTTAGGCTATTGCACCTTCCTGGGGTCGGGTCGTGACACCTGGAGTGTCAAGAAGCAACTCATCATTGCCAGATCATCCATGGAGGCGGAATATAGGGCTCTAGCATATGCTATCACATATATCATCTGGCTCAAACAACTGCTTCGGGATTTTCACATCTCCCTCCAGCATCCAACGGACCTTCATTATGACAATACATCATCCATTGCCTTAGCCAATAACTCAGTGTTCCATGCCAGAACAAAACATATAGAAGTGGATCATCACTTCATTCATCATCACATCCACTCCCATATAGTTCGTATTGTCCTCATCAGCACTCAAGATCAGCAAGCAGACATTCTTACAAAACCACTCTCTACAACTAGATTTCATCTTCTACACAGCAATCTGATTGTCCAACATAAACCGTCACATTGCAGGGGACTAAAAGCAACACACAATACAACCTCTACCAAACGTACCTCCTCCATGTGCATTGAATGTATCCTGACTCTTCATCCATAACAACCTGCAATGATCCTATATGTACAGGTTTAAAGTCATGTGCACACTTCACTATATATTACTACATGTACACCTAATAGCATAGATACATAAATAGAAAATGTATCATCTTCTACATTTACTATTGTCTCTATAACATCAAGCTTTAAGGTATATCTTAGGCCTTTCGAATGCATTATTTTGTCTCTGTTTGTTTAGAAAGAACACTAGGATTTAATGTGAAAAAACTTGAAATAGGGAGAAAACCACATAGCCACACAACACTAAGAAATTCACTATGAAAATTATGAGAAATTATACAGATTTCTCTTCTCACCCTTTCTATTTTGTATATAGCTCATAAAAATACTTAATAATTCTGTTAATTTAATTTAAAACTCATTGTCATTTATCTTTAATGACACACACTATATATATATATATATATATATACAGTTATTAATGACACACACTATATATATATATATATATATATATACAGTTAAATGGAACAACACTATGAAAAGGGTTATGACTTTTATTTTGGCTAAATTGAATGCATCATCTCTGCCGAAAGCAATGCCGTAATCGAATCGCCAATCCTTCAAACTTTAGCAGCAGAGAATTAGGTTCCTTCTACAAGTGGCGGTCCCCTATAAACATAATACTTTGATAAATTATGATTTCATTTGGTTTGGGACAGCTTTTTTTTATTGCTTTGTTTTCAGGATCTTAACCACAGCTTTTATTTAAGCATTATTTTTTTTCTGTTTTTAATATTTTTTTTATGCTAAGAAGCTGTTTTAAAAAACTGTTTTCTATAACAGCTTCTGAAAAAGCTGCTTTCTTCATAATAGTTTTGTAATCAACTTAATAAAAAAATGTAGCCATCCCAAATGGAGTCGTGAATTTTATTTGAAAATTTTCTGAAAATCAATAGATTTTTTATCATGAGCAGAACCCATCTTGGATTGAACTTGAATTGAGAATCAACAGAAAGCTGATCGTGTATTCTATATGTTTGATGATATGCCTTACAAAACTATTCTTTCTCCCAACAAAATCAGAATAAATTAATATATACCATAACATGTATTAAATATTCTTTCAGTCTTCATACAAATTGTGATTATTGGCCACCACACCCTGCATTTGAAGATCATTTTCAGATTTATAAACTCTTTGGGATGATAATCTCAAGAGTATTATCATTGTTGATGGAAGCTTCCATCTTTCTGCAATCAGCATCATCTGCTACCTCTAAACGCCTAACAAATCCATATTCCCACCATTTTCTGATCTTCCAATCTCTTCCTGTAGGATTTCCGACATTCCAGATTCCACTGATTTCTATCAAATTTTCTTTATCTCCGGAAAGTGCTACTTCAACACTCCTTGCTCCCACTACCAGTCAAAACACCTGAAGCTGTTAGCATCTCATATGAACATGATTTGTTGTGAAGTAATTAAAAAAATTTGGGCAAGGAGAAAGATGAGGAGTAAGCAATTATGTTCCTTGAAATATTGTTGGGCTAAATTACCTGGAAGTTCAGCTCTGAAGATATACTTGTCGTCTGTTTCAGACCAATCAACACTGATCTTTGAGGAACTGTGAAGCCTGGAGAGAAGCAATTCTGGATCGAAGTCCCATAGAGGAAAAGCATCAGCTGGATCAAAGAACTTTCCAAAGAGAAGTGGACTGAACAGTGAACCTTCTCCGAACACTTTCTGTGCTATTTCTCCAGCTTGACTGAGATAGGAGCTAAAAACATCTTCACTGAGTGGAAGAAGCCATTTTTGAGATTGATCATCATCATCTGTTCTGATTTCCAATGCTGTCTTATGAGACATTACTGCAAGGAAATGGAAGGAAGCTCAGCTGTTGAGAGTATCTATCTTCTCTTTTATATCGTGGTGAGATAGCTTTTGGGAAAGTAGAGTGCACATTGCTTTTGTATTGCAGCAGGGAATATTTCTTTTCTCTGTATTTTTTCTGATGGTTGTGATTGCTGTTGTTTGATGGATACCAGAGCTACATAAGTCAAGTTGATTATTCCAAGGAGACCTGCTTCTAGCTCTGAATCGACTTGTTGCATACACATGCAATATACTAGGAGATGATCACTATCATGAATTGATATGATGATGGTCAACGGAGCTATTATTTTGTATGGACACCGGACGGTTCTCCCATCCGGTTACGTGCTTGGTACTCGGTACCGAGCAGTACCGAGCGCGGTACATTTTTTGGATGACGTGGTATATTTTTATTGGTCTCCGGACGCTCCAGACTCCGCACAGAATAAAAATCCAAGATTGAGGTCTAAGATTATAAGGGGATGTTTGGGATCATTTTTTTCAAGTCGACTCGAACCTAATCCTTTTTTTTTTTTTTGTGGGTCACTTAAGTTAATCTAAACCTAACACGAATCTTACATGGATTGATCCAAATTAAATTTTTTCATGTCAGGTTCAACATAGATACCCATAACATTAAGCTTTCATCAGTGGGAAATTGATTGCTTCTTTGAGCCTAGGTGAGGATAGTGTCACCAACATAAAACAAAAAATCACATGATTTTTTTTTCTATATCTTTATCTATAGCCCAATTACCATATGGGTAATCAATAAAATTCATTAGAAGAGGAATCTATTAATCTACAAGTTAATGCACATTTAAGCTATCATTTTTGGGGTAAAATTTAAGGTATCAATGGATCTAGGGTCTAAATGAGCAGAGTTTGCTCACAAGTCGGCTTGAGCTACACTTGTTAACGAGCTCATGAGTCGAGCTTAACGGGCTACAAGTTTGAGCTCGAGCCTATACTCAAGCTCTTATATTAAACGAGCTCTAGCTCAGTCTGGCTCGACGCGAAAGCTCATGAGCCACTCGATTAAGTTAAAATATATCCAAAAATTAATTTATATTAGAATAGTAGAATAAATTTTAACATTTTAGAATAATTCTAAAAATTTTAATTGAGTCATGCTTGAGCTTACCAAACAAGCTAAACAATCGAGTCATGCTTGAGCTTACCAAATGAGCTCGAGCCTATAAATTTTTTAACGTATCAAGATCGAGCTTAGTAAGAACTAAACAAGTTTGGATCGATTAGACAAATACTCAACTGGTTTACACCCCTAAATGGATCCTTAGCTTACTTTAAAGTTTCGTTTGAGACAACTTTTTTACTACCTTGATTTTAAAATCATAATCACAATTTCTGTTTTACTATTATTTTTTGTTGCTTTTAAAAAAAATTGTACTAGGTAGGTGTTAGTTTTGTGTAGAATCGATTGGATTGTACTATTGCCTCAAACCCCCATTCTATCGGTCGAGCTCGCACTATACAAAAAGGCTAATTTGGACAAACTTAGGCTTCGTCTCAGACATTTTTTTTTAAGCTTTGTAAAGAAGCTAAAGAGAAAGTAATTTTTTAAAATTGTTGTATAAAATAACTTTTGTTAAGGAAGTAAATCACACAGCCAAACAAGCAATAAATAGAAGATGTAGCATAAATAAAAAGCACAATTATTTAGCGTAAAAAATCAAAAATATAGAAAAAAACACAGCCACACCAACCCAAGAAATTCATAATAAAAATTTGGGAGAAAACAAATCTCACTTCTCACCATTCTCTCACTACAACATATAAAGAGAAACATGTAGAAACCACCAAGCGACACAACCCCTAATGAAAACGAGAAAGAAAACTCAATCTGTTTCACAGCGTCATAATGCCATATTTGGAGTGTCGCAGCGCTCCACTCTCTGTCTCTAGTCTGCTTGATAGCACCGCTACGTCAGCGTCTGAAACGCTGCAATACTCCGCTCTTTGTTTATCTCCAAACAAATTATGCAGCGCCCGGAAAAAAAACTTGTCCAAATTACTTTCTGGCCAAAAAAACTCCATATAAAAATTTTGTCCTGCACATATCAAAAAAACAAAAACTTGCAAGTAAACTTCAGAAGTTGATTGAATCCATCACTTTTCGATAATTTGATGTCACGTTTCATTGTAAGTGTCTATTTTATAATTGCCAATTATGCATCTTGAAAAATTATTAAGAATCACTTTTGCGTAAGCTTCCTTCTTCTTCCTTTGTACGTTGTATTTCAATCCCAAACAGAAATATGTGATTTTATTTTGTTCATGATGATATATATGTCATTTACAGGTAAAAAATGCTATTTTCTTAAACTTGGTGATTAGTATTTGAGGTAATTTGCCATCAATATATGAGATTGCATACATAACATTTTAAAACAGGAAAAAACAAAGCAAAAATGTTATCGATTCAGAGAACAAAAAGCAATAAGAATATTTGAAACAAAAATAAAGTTTAAAATAGTTCAAACAGCAAATTTTTACAGTTATTTTAATATTAAAAGCAAAATCAGAAAAGCAGCGAGACCAAAATCAATATTCTATTTTGAAAAATAAAACAAAATGTAAAGTGTGCAATAAGTAATGAAGACTCTCAACCATTAATGCGCAAAAGAGATATAATTACTATCATCTCTCTGAATCAAATCTATATGTAACAATGTAAGGAAATTAATACAGAAATTGAAAGCTTCGGCCATGACAAAGCAGAACCAAGAACAAAGAAAGGACAAGAAGAAAGCACTTCTTTTAATATTTTTAGTAATAAAATTTTCTCCTTAAAATATCACCTTTGTTTTCTATTTTTCTTTATTATTTTTTCGCTCCAAAAAAATCTTAAGGAAATTAACCATAAGAAAAGATCCTATTACCAATGAAAAAATCAATCCATAAAAAGTCTTATTTTCTATGAAATTCTGGATAAATATGCACCCGTCATCTCGTATCAAGGAAAGCTTCCTTTAGAACCACTTTTTATTGCTTTTTTTTAATTAAAATTTTATTTTAAGAAGTAATAAAAAAGACATCAGAGACTAAGCCTAAATTTCCATCATTAATCCTCCTAAAATATAAACGGATATGTTAATAAAATTTATTTAAGGATTTTCAAAAGAGTAAAAATAGAGATATCAAATCACTCAGATAATATATCAATATCAATTTAAGATTTCTAAAACAACTTTTAGTGGAAAAATTTTAATTTAAAGAAGATAAAAAGTCATCCCAAACTTGAGAGATTATTCTGTGCGGACGGTGGACGCCGAACTCAGCTCCACATCGGGATACCAAACAAAATGAGCCACGTCAGCGATACTAAGTGATATCGACACTCGGTACCACCGTACCGAAAGATACTGAGCCGCAGGCTTAGGTATCCGGACGAATTCCGCTTCTGCACAGAATAATTTTCGCTAGACGGAGCCTAAAATTAAAATTAAAAGATGATGTAATTGAAACAGTTTTCCTTGAAACAAAACAGATAGTATTGCAATGAAAGCAAAATATACAGAAGACTGAACTCATCGACCAATAAATGATGAACTGTTTACCTACCTTCAATTATGAAAGATCAAATCTTCAAGTAGTTCAAGAAATGAGAAATTACAAATAATAACTGAATAGCTAACATAATACAAAATTATAAGAATATGAAAATAAGAAGGAAGTCCAACCATTCCAGATTGGTCCTAAGAAATTACAGTTATTTTAATATTAAAAGCAAAATCAGAAAAGCAGCGAGACCAAAATCAATATTCTATTTTGAAAAATAAAACAAAATGTAAAGTGTGCAATAAGTAATGAAGACTCTCAACCATTAATGCGCAAAAGAGATATAATTACTATCATCTCTCTGAATCAAATCTATATGTAACAATGTAAGGAAATTAATACAGAAATTGAAAGCTTCGGCCATGACAAAGCAGAACCAAGAACAAAGAAAGGACAAGAAGATGAAGAAGGAAAAAGTAGAATTAGATTAATTAAAAGTAGATGTACAGAACCCTATAAGTAGCAATGCTATACACAAACGAACCAATGACAGAATTACACGTGTAAAGTGTGCTATCTAAATATACACAGCTTATGTCTAATATCCCCCCTCAAGATGGTGATTCTGGAGGTTGAACCAGCTTGCCGGCGAGAAGCTTGAACCGAGGAGAGGGAAGAGCTTTTGTGAAGAGATCCGCTATTTGATCTTTGGTAGACAGGTGATGAACTTGAATAGTGTCATTCTTGATGCAATGCCGAATGTAGTGACAGTCGACTTCAATGTGTTTCGTCCGTGCGTGAAACACCGGGTTGTTAGCTAGAGCTATAGCGGAGATGTTATCGCAAAAGAGAGGTGTGGCAGTGGTCTGGGAGCAGTTCAGTTCCTGTAGTAGCCGGCGAATCCAGGTGATTTCGGCTGCCGCCGAGGCCAGTGCCCTGTACTCAGCTTCTGTAGATGAGCGAACAACAGCGTTTTGTTTCTTAACACTCCAGGATATAAGAGTGGAGCCGAGGAAATTACAGTATCCCGAGATTGATTTCCGGTCTTCAGCGTCTCCTGCCCAGTCTGAGTCCGCATAGGCTTGAAGGATCGGTTTGTCTCAGAAGATTGGAAGGCCTGTATGAAGTGAACCTTGAATATACCGGAGTAGCCTTTTGAGAGCTTCAAAATGTAAGTTTGTTGGGCTTTGCATATGCTGACAGATCTTGTTGACGGCGTAGGCGATGTCCGGACGTGTGAGGGTGAGATATTGGAGACATCCGGCAAGTTGACGATACAACGTTAGGTTAGAAAATGCGGCTGCCGAATTTGATGAGAAAGAAGTTTGAATTTGCGAGGGAGTAGAGACAGGTTTACAGTTTAACATACCTGCGCGGGATAGTATTGATTGGGCGAATTGGCTTTGCGTAAGATGGATCCCGTATGAGGTAGGTACCGCTTGAATACCCAAAAATTGAGAGATGGGGCCAAGATCCCGCATAGTGAATTTATTGTGGAGATTACGCAGCAGATTTTGGATGTCCGAGTTGCTGTTGCC